GGGGGGTTATAGAATAATTGATTGCATGGGTTTTTCTTGTTTTTTATTGGTGTTGTTAAAGGTTATTTCAAAGTTTTGATCTTTATCATGTTTTTGTTTATATTGGTACTGTCTAATATGTTCTTGTTGTAATTCTTTGTATGATACTTTATGTGATTAAGTATTTTCTTGATATCCAGTTGGGGAAGGGATGAAAAATGGGTTTGTTTTATTTTTGATTTTGGTGAATTGGTTTGTTGGTCTAATTCATCTTTCTGAGTAAAAACAAATCTGAATTAGTAGGATTTTGGAGAAGCTGTTTCTGAACTTGTTAATCTGTCTTTCCTAAACTTGCAAGAATTTTGTAGTCATATTAATACTGTATCAACACGCAATTACAATTCCTGAAAGTTCTATTATTTTGTTATAATCTCCTTTTTCTTTGGCACTGATGTCATGTTTGCATGCTGGATTGCAGCTACGATTATTCGGGATATGGTGGATCATCAGGTAAGGTAAGGAAATTATCATGCTAAATTCCATTTCTAACTTTTGTTTCAGACAGCAATTGGCATCAAGCCATTGATCTATCTTATCATAGAGCTTTTGCATGACTGGTAAAGTTGCTGCCATGTTATCAGGAGGTCACGGGTTCGAGCCGTGGAAACAGCCTCTTGCAGATGCAGGGTAAGGCAGTGTATAATAGACCCTTGTGGTCCGGCACTTCCTCGGACTCCACGCGTAGCGGGAGCTTAGTGCACTGGGTTGCCCTTTCTGCCCTCCTGTTGCCTTATAAGTTTTGGTCTACTTGTTCCAATCTTCACATATTGATGTCTATTTACTTGTATCAGCCATCGGAGTTCAACACGTACTATGACATCGAAGCTGTCTATAATTGTTTGAAGAGCGAATACGGCATTAAGCAGGAGGATATTATTTTGTACGGACAATCTGTTGGCAGCGGGCCAACACTACACTTGGCATCTCGCTTACAGAGGTTAAGAGCCATTGTTCTTCATAGTGCTATACTTTCAGGAATACGAGTTCTATATCCTGTAAAGATGACATTCTGGTTTGACATTTTCAAAGTAAGTATTTCTTTTTTCGTCGTTTTCTCCTGGTTGATTAATTATGAAGAAGTATCATGCTGACAAATTTCTTTCCTTTTGCAGAATATAGACAAAATACAAAAAGTCAGCTGCCCAGTTTTAGTGATCCATGTAAGAAACATCTTTTTCGTTAGTTCGTTCTTCCTTCTAGATACTTTCACATACTTTTTGTTTTCTGCTTTGTTATATTTAGTTGATCGATTATTCACAAAAAAGTATGCTTCTGTATGTTTTTCATTCTTCAAAGTTTCTTCATTACTTGCTGACATTCCAAGAGAATGGAATGGTAGAGGACTAGGAATATGTGACACATAAAACAATAATAAGTTGGTGAAATGGAGGAGTGCTACAGGATTGATATAAGACCAGCATTCTTAGATTGGAGTAAATGTTGAGACTCTAAGATCCTCAAGATTAGTCTAGATTAGAACTGATCGCATTCTATTAAGATGGATAGTAAGACTAGAAATGCGGATAGGAAGATGGATGTACGATCATAAAAGATTAGACAAGATTAGAAATGATTACATTCGACAGAAGGTGCAAGTAGCACGGACAAAGGATAAGCTGAGGTAACGTCAGTTGATATGGACTGGTCATGTCTTACATAGACCTCCCAATGCACACTTTCGGTAGATGCAAAAAACATGATTGACGATATTTTTTAATTGGATAAGGTAGACCTAAAATTGCATGAAGGAAATGATCTCAAAAGATTGACTATCTCTCGAGATCTATGCAAATCTAGTGAAAAGGACACAATGAAAGCAAAAATCCATATAGGCAATTGGCAACATTGACTAGCTGGCATTAAGGCTAAGTCGGAATGCTATGCTCTCATTAGGCTCAATGTTGTAGGAGTCATTTTAGTCTAGAGATTTATATGTCAGTAGAAAACGTAGAGAACCTGTAGTGCTAAAGAACTCCAAGTTATTACAACAACAAACCCAGTGGAGTCCCACAAGTGGGGTCTGGAGCGGGTTGTGTGTACGCAGACCTTATCCCTACCCGGGAGGATAGAGAGGCTATTTTCCATAGACCCTCGGCTCAAAAAAGAACTCCAAGTTATTGAATACTGGAATAAAATGGATCCAGATAGAGAGCAATGGATGGTGAGAATCCGTTACCGACTCGAACTAGCTTGGGTTTGAGGCATACTTGTTGATGTTGTAGACGTAGCATTTCTAGTTTTTCCAAAGTGATGCCAAAATCTTGTAAAAAAAAAGCCTGTTCAACCACCTGCATTGTTGCTTTTAATTGCTGAAACTGCTTTGTCTTTTGGTTATATCCTAGTAAATCTTATCAAGATATAAGTGTTAAAGAAATGACACTCTCGGATTAAACTTAAAGAATTCATGTTTCTACTCGGATTAAACTAGTTGGTAAAAGATGACTCTCTCAACCAGTACTTTTCTGTGGTCAGTTTATTCATTATTGTCTTGATCCTCAGAATCATGTTCTTGTGAAATAGTAGACGTGCGAAACCAGGTTGGTAACAATTGTAACCAAAGCTCAAGGGCATCTAAGTGCTTGTGTAGCATTTATGCCACTCAACAACTGAAGTAGATGGGTGATTTATGTGCTGAACATGCAAGGATGCTTTTGATAACCTCTTCTGTCAAAATCCAATAGTGGACCATTTCACACTTTCCTTCCCCTGTATGATTAGCGAGCCCGCTGTCAACAAGAATAGTTATTGTCTCCTTGAAAGATCAAACTTGTTCTTGAAAGACCATTAGACTATGACTTTACAAGAAAAACAATTCACAATATTGCATCTAATTCACTTCAAAACCAGATTAATTGTTCATTACTGGTCCTTTCTTTCAAGCAACCGTGTTTGATAAAAAGATATAAGGATTGCATACTTTGAAATCAAAACAAAAGTTAGGGTGAAATTGAAGAAAATAGAACCTTGTATATAGAGATTTCTATGTCAGTCCTTTTCCTTTTATCTCCTTCTCAGATTCTCCACTTGATCAATATTTTCTCCTTCTCAGAATACCTTGCAAGTTTTCCGCATAATGTCTCATACTATAGACATATTTTTATAACTCTATTCTTAGATATTTGAATTATTTTTAGCCGAATCCCTACACCTGTATCCATACCTAGATCCGTACCCACAAATCTTAAAATTTAGAAGGATCCGGCGTCTTAATTTGCACCAGTATCGGACACCCGCACCCGAGTCTGAGCAACTTAGGCTGACTTTACATGATTTTGTTGTCCTTTTATTTAAATATCTGGATAACTGTTACAAGTCTATTCTTCTAATCAGGAGTTATCTTTTTACACTTCTCTTTTCGACATAGAGCATAGCACCAAATAGAATGCTTGAGTGACTGACCTATCATGTGATTAAACGATCATTTTAACTTTCCCTTTCATTGAGGTGCCTACCGGAATAAAATACACTGTTATCTTTTACTTGCTTCGTCAGTATCCTACAATCGTTGATGGTATTATTCTAATGTTGGGAGCTGCATGAAAAAATGATGGAGCACACTCGAGAACCTGCTTTAGAACAAGAGTATCTTCACTGTACATATTATCGAAATATGTCTTACCTTGGTCCTCTTTCCCACTTTCTTTTCCTTGTGTCATTGAAACTGTTTAGTTCAGATACTCTCAAAGGCCAGAGTATCCATGACCTCAGGGACGCATCAACCATTTTAACTTATGGATTTATTTGAACCCTATAGCTTTTGCCCATACCCTGTATATGGATAAAGAAATCTATTAAATATCTATAAATATTTGATTGTGAGCCCAGTTACTATCATATATTAGTTTGAGATCGTGTACCATAAATAAACTTCAAATCCTTGATCCGCCTCTTCATAACCTGACACGACACGCAGTGAGCACTACAGTAAAACATCCTTTTCAAAGTTACAATTGAAAAACCAGATCCTCGACACGTCCATAAGATGTCTTCGATGTTGTCGGAGTAAAATTTAGGATATTAGGTTCTTATGTTGCAAGATATGACAGATTGAGAAATGAAGATGACAAAGGTAAACTAAGCAGGAAAAATGTGTCATGGCATCTTTAAATTATCTAACTCTTATTTAGGTTATGGACTATGTTGAATCATGCGCAGTTTCTTAAGGCTGTTGGAGTTGGTATGTGTTCACAACCCAATGACCAATATTACTATCATCGGACCTTTCGGGTTTGTAGTACTTATTGACTACGTTGAGCATCATTTTTAGTTAAACTTCTAACATACTTGCACAGTGGGCTGGAGATGTTGGTTTCTGCTGGGCACCTAATTAGTCCACTCTCTATAGATCTCCTTTTCGAGAAAAAGTTCTGGAAGTTCTTGTTCATTTCCCAAGTGTGAGCTCCTAAACGTTTGTTTATGATTACATCTTCAAATTTAGTTTACTACTTGTAACTGCTGACAAATTGGGGAATGGACTACCAAAGGGGTATTTTGACTATATGATTAAAGCTTTTGGTGGTTCCAACTGGTAGCAAAGACTTGTCGCTGGGCCCGGCCATGTGGAATTGGTTAGTTCAAATTGTGCGGGTTGACAGGCCTTTAGGAAGTAATGGAAGGCCAAAGGAGAATTCTGGATGGAAAATCATGAGATTAAGAAAATTAAACAGTTTACCTCAGTCCATTTTCATGGACCAACAAATAAGGAAACTTATAATGGACCCTAGAAGCTATACAGCAGAAGGATTCTATTGCTCAGTAAAGGACATCAATGGCAAAGCAATAGTGAAAGTTTAAGGGAAAATGACACTATATAGCCGCTCTCAAAATTATAGCCGAAAAAATGTATATTTTTTGTATATATATATATATATATATACACACACACATTCTGTCTGTTATATACAAAAATTATACAAATGTAAATAGTTTCTTGCGCGGGCTAAAGTGAAGAAAGCCCAAAGTTTAACTGAATACTTGGCGGTTTTGAGGAGGACACCAATGGCACATCAATGGTAAAGCAATAGTAACTCCAGAGAAGAATGCAATGTGTCACCAGAAGATCCTAGCAAAATTTCTCATGTGCTATTAAAACAATACAAGTATATTAAAAGATGAAAACTATTACTCTCCTGTACCAATTAACTTTCTCTTTCTTTTTACCGCTAATGCAACGGCTGAATATATTAAGCACTTAAAATGCTAGTTACTTATGTCCTTGTAACCTTTTGAAAGTGTTACAGGAAAGTTCTCCTGCATATGTGAAATCACACTTTCTTGTTTGATACAGGCTGATGTATTTTACAGATAAATAGTTCCTTATCCACGATCACATCTTATAGTGCAATACCACTAGGCATTGCTGTTTAGTGAAGTTGGAAATGATGCTTCTGTGCTCAAAAGGTCATTAATATTACCTTCTGGAGTGTCATTATTTTTCTTAATTTACACGCTTGATTAAACCTTAGATCCATGTATGTCTAAAATGCAAAAAGTCTAAACTTTTGTATGCTATTCAGTAATCTTAATGAATTCTTTAATGGAAAATACTATCGTTTCTTCAATTGAAATGATATATTTGAAATGAACTTGGTCGCTAAAACGTATGATTGTCGTCAGTTTTCAACTTCTCAATTATTAATTGCTAGAGTGTCAGTTCTAATTGTACTTCTGGATCCTTCGTCACAATCTAAGGTGAGGTTAACATGAATACGTGATGTTGAAAACACGTATATCTAGAGGAGTTTCCTCGAGATAATGACGTGTTCCACATGTTTATTCTGAACATGGTTGTTATCTTGAGAAAGAGCTCATTGTAAGATTAGTACACCGTTCGCATATGCCTTTCTTTATCCTCTTTTTACCATCCCCCTCTTGCAAATGGATAGGATTAAATCCTTAGCTGCAGTAGTTTTTTCTGTATATCATATCATATATACTGTTATGATATAGGATTATCTTGTTTCCCGCGTTAAAGCTCCTATACATTTGCAATATGATAGTACAACGCCCTTTTTGCACTTACCTACTAGACTTCTAGTATTTTTATGTCTGAAAAATGAGTTATTTGCAGGGTACAGCAGATGAGGTTGTTGATTTTTCACATGGTAAGCGTTTGTGGGAACTCGCCAAAGAGAAATATGATCCGTTATGGGTCGAAGGTGGAGGACATTGTAATCTAGAGACATTTCCTGAGTACATTAAGCACTTGCGCAAATTCGTTAATGCAATGGAGAAACACTCGTTTTCTAAACGAAACAAGGCACGGCTTTCTCAAGCCCCAAGTATAACCGAATCCAAACACAACAGATGCTTAAGATTTGGAAAGAGATGAAATGATTTGTTCTAGTTATTACTAAGAAGTGTTGCACAGGAATTAGCTGCTTTTTCGCGGAAATAGATAAAGTTCGCGTTTATTGCAGCAACATAACTGATTCAAGAACTGGCTGCTTTAACACCGATGTTACCAACTCAAGATTGTGCTGCTGAGCTTGTTTCGTCGTTTGCTAAAGATTGAGGTAACACGAGTAAGATTTAGTCAGTTCGTTACAGATTGCTGCTCACTTGATTAGTTTATGTGTTGGACAAGGTCAGTGACTTGTCTGTTAATGTAACAGTGTGTATTATCCCCAGAAAAGATTATGGTTAGACTTGATTTAACTCTCTGTACACTAGGAATCTCAGTGTTTTATGTAGAGACCACCTTTTCTTGGCAATAGAGATACAAATTTATTTGCCTGTATCATCTCCTATTTTATTTCCTAAAATCTTTTTCTTATGCGTTGTATCGTTGTCTATACTCTGTCATTGTTGTAAATAATCCAGTTCTATCACACACCTGAGCTGAGTGTCTACCGAAAACAGTCTCTCTACCTTCTTAAAGGTAGGGGTAAGGTCTGCGTACACAACATCCTCCTCAGACCCCACTTGTAGGATTAGACTGGGTTTGTTGTTGTTGTTGTTGTATCATACTTCACACCCTTCGGGTGTAGCCCTTTCCCAAATCTTGCGTGAACGCAGGATGCTTCGTGCACCGAACTGCCCTTTTTATCATATTCACTAGTATTAATTTCCATGTATACAGGCTGCCAGATTCATTGTACATGTGAAAATTCACCTTGAAATAGCACCACCTAAAACTATTGTCTATTATGCTCTTACAAATTCAGTATTTAAGTACATGCATCTGCCAATGTGAAACCTCAGTTATGTATCATAAAATATTGTTAATTTTTTAAACCCTAAGCAGCAAGATTTACAATCAACTTTTCCATTGCAACTAAGTTAACGAAGTGGGTGAAAACTATGGGTAATCGGGGGTCAGCAGAGACAAAAAACCGTTAGGTGATTTTTTGCTATATTTCTAAGCCTTGGTTGGCAATGTTACTCTCTTTTTTATTACACGTTGTGCCATTTGTTTCCGTTGTCCAATTACCTTGTTGTTATTGTTTGTTTATTGCGTCCTTTTTACTGTTCTTGAGCCGAGAGTCTATCGGAAACATCTTCTCTACCTTCATAAGGTAGGGCTAAGGTCTGCGCATACATTACCCTCCCCAGACCCTACTTGTGGGATTTCAGTGGGTTTGTTGTTGTTGGTGGTGGTGGTTGGCAACATTACCCGGTATATGTACTCCTATGTAGCAGGTATCCAGTAGAATAATCGAGGCATTATTATTTAAAAAAAAAGATGTCTTCCTATATGTCTAAGCATTGGTCGGCAATGTTACTCGGTATATGTACTGTTATGTAAGAGGTATCCGATAGAATAATCGAGTTATTATTATAAGAAGAAAAAAAAAACTATTGCTCCAAGTGAATTACTTGTGCTCCCATATTAAGGAAGAAGATAGAAGCTTTCCGAAGTTTTAAATATTTTAATGATTTTTTACACAAAACTATGGAAATTTTAATGGGAAAGCTCAAATGACCAAATCTTTATACTTAAAAAAAGATTGTAATTTCCAGATTGAGTGGGATTTGTTTGCTTCTTTCTTGCATATGGTAGGTTACTTAGGTCCCCTTGGCCATAGCTAAAAATTATATAAATAATAAAACTAGTTCTATATTAGGACATCTGTAATACCTTTTTTTATTTTACTTTTTTTAATTCTTATTAATATTTCAGTGTAGGAAATTTGATAGACTTTTCGTGCCATTTTTTTATTTTCTTTCTTGGTTCTTATACTGAAGAATATATTTGCTGTCTGCAAATCTTTTAACATATCAATATTGACAATTTAAATTCATATTTTCATCTTTGTTAACTATAAATATTTATTTTATGAGTTTAAGTTCTATTCTCTAATATATAAAATATATTTACATAATCAATTCATTTATAAAGTTTACAAGTAACTTTATACTGTCGATCTATATAACTTATATAGTAGTATTTATTTTGAAAGTGTGGGTTCTCTTTTTAAAATATTTAAAGTATTTTTTTATTTTTTATTCTTTGACGCTTTTGTGCTTTAGATGATTAACGTACTCTAGAAAATATTAAATAAAAAAATATATTTGAAGGATCAAGAAATATAATATGATGAAGATGATTTCAACATCATGTAGTTGATACTTAGAAGCATACAATTATTGTCTAATAACTCTATAATTAATTACAGCTAATGTGAGATAAAAGAAAGACAACTTATTCCATCAAAGAATTCACATGGACAGCCAGTCAAATTATTAGCTGAAGCTACGTTTGAATTTGATTCACCATAACGAAGCTCGATGTACAAATTATTCTGTATTTGTGCAGGGTTCGGGGACGAACCGTAAGAGGTGTGATGTAGACAGTCTGACCTAATGCAAGTATTAGTGGACGCTTGAACCCGTAATCTCATACGAAAATAAATTTATCATTACTCTAAGGCTCCTTTTGTTTGATTCACTATGCTATTTCTTAATTAATAGAAAGTTCACAAAAATAAAATACTATTTTTTTCTTTAGAAATGTATTAGTAGTTCCTTATAAGATTCCTGACATTTTATAACAAAAATGGAAACTTACGCAGAGCTATCTGACAGAGGACTATAAAATATAATTTCTCAGAATATTCTATGGGAAAGTGATAACTCCACAACTTTGGTGATGTTCAATTAATCTGCATTTCTTACGTTAAATTAATTTGAATTTAAATAATAATATTCGTGGAATGACGCCTCAAACATTTTGAAATGTCTTAAAATGGAAAGATTTTTATATTCCTGGAGACTGGAGTCATAATGCCCACAAAATAAAAGTATTGAGATAGAATGTGGAAATGAAATTACTAGTGGATGAAAATGTATAATGAGATAACCGTTTTTATAATTGATAATAACTTTGGGAAAAAGGTCAAAATTGTCCATGTACTATCGAATATTATTTAAAATTGTACTCCGTTTCATTATTTGATCGACGAGTCCCTACCGTTATATTTTCATTCAAATATATCCCTAATTTAGACGGCTAGCCACATGTCACTCCCAGAACTCAATTGACCCAATAAATTAGGGGATGCCACATTCAAATTTGGAAGTGAGATGTGGTTAGCCGTTTAACTTGGAGATAGATTTGAATAAAAATATAACGATAAGGACCAGTCGATCAAATAGTAAAACGCGAATTTTAGATAATATTTGATAGTATATGAGCAATTTTAGTCCGTTTCCGAATAATTAATCTCTTTAACAAATTTCCCTACTTTTTATCTCTTGTCCCAAAGAAAAACACGTATGTAGAGTTATATATTGTTTAATATCTATGCTAAATTGAAAATAATTATAATGATCATTGCTTTCAAACTGTCATCCACCTATATCAAATTATGTCACTATATATACAACTTTAGCCAAGTAAGTAGATATGAATCTTTTATTTTATGAAATATTGGAATTTGGGCATTGATTAAGTCCACTATATATCCAAGTATAATCCCAAAAGGCTTCTTTCTTTCTACTATTTTAAGGTTGTGGGGTCTTCATCTAGACCATAGTGAAATGGTTGGATTTTTAAAGTTCGAATTCGACTTCTAAAATTATTCAATAAGAAGTGTCTTTTTTTAGTACTGAATTACTCAGATATGAATTTGAATTAATCAAGTTAATGGTTTTCAAATATGAATAATTAACTTATATTTTGAAGCAGCATTCAAGCAATAGTCTTTTATACCTTTTTCGGCTTTTTGGCTAAGATCAACCGTAGTATATGTTTTATCAGTTTAGCGATATTAACTCAACTTTTTAAAGAGGAATGTACATCATGCATTACTAAAAAACATGAATTAACGACGAACAAATTATGTAGTTAAACAATAAAATTCGTCGCTAATCCTACTTAACGACAGATTAACAAAAATTTATGTTAGCTACGAGCAATTTAGCGACGAAGTTCGTAACGAATACCAATTTTTTAGTAGTTATGGTAGCTTGCTACACTGATGTTCGCGCGTCGCCTAAGCTCAGACCTGACGCACCCACTAAAATCAACCGTCTTTCCATGTTTTTTACGTCTGCCAAATAGAGAAATGGAATATGTTTTGCATGATTTGACTGAAAGTATCAATTAATAGAGGAAACTCTCTACTCTTTAACATTTATGATTAAAGAAGTAGAAATTTTTATATTTCCCAATTATTCATTTTTAATGGGAATATGATGTTAGCTTCCACTTGAAAGTACAAGAAAATATTTCAAAATCTAGGCTTTTGTGGGGTACATTTTAATACTCTCTTCTTTTCAATTTATGTGAACTTATTTGACTGGACACTAAATTTAAGAAAAAAATGAAGACTTTTGAAATTTGTGATCCTAAACAAGTCAAAAAGGGGCCCAGAGTATTTGTGTGGTTATAAAAGCTTCTCATTAAGGGTATAATTATAAGTTTAAGCTAAATTATTTTCAAATTTAGAAAGGGGTCATTCTTTTTTAAACAGACCAAAAGAAATATAGGTTCACATAAACTAGAACGGATAGAGTATAATTTTTGCTACTTCTTTTGGCAAATTATGGCCCTACGAATCCACAACGATATCTCCTAAGGAAGCAGAAGGCATAATTAAATGTTAATATTCTGAATTATATATAGTGGTGTTAATTAGAAAGCAATAGCACAAAATTAATGGGCGAACATGCATAGTAGTTGATTGACACAAAAGAAGTAGTTACTTGAATCTTTACTATTTTTTTTTAAATAGTTGATGTGCCAATTTTTTTTTATCTAACACTAGTCGTATATACTAACACTCTCTCTTCTCTTTCTCTTCTTACCCGGTGTCCGATACCCACATTGGGGCCCGACTAAATTCGAATTCGCGCTGGGAAGTCCCACATTAGGGGGTAATGTCAAGTGGGCTTATTCAATTTCTGAAGTTAGATTGAAGATAGAAAACCGGCCAGTAGTGCCTTTAACGAATGCATTCGCGAGGCTTTACTGAGTATTCGGTATAACTCACGCATTCGTGTACAAACCAGTGCAGACGAAGTAACACAAATATCTCCGGTAGTCAGTCTATTTCCATCAGCCGGCCGGTGGGAGCGAGAAGTTTGGGATATGTTTGGCGTTTCACAAAAAAGACACTCTCTTTTCTCATTTTACATGTTTTCTACTTCTATACATGATTGTTGAACCTATTTGGCCAAGCTTAAGTGAAGTCAAAAGTCAATAACTTTAATTAAGTACAAATTATTATTCTAATATTGAAAAAAATATTTTTTATATTAATTAATCAAACAAACTCTTTAAAAATATTTTTACGTAAA